GCCTGTCCTGGAACTCGCTCTGTAGACCAGTCTGGCCTTGAACTCACAAAACTCCGACTGCCTGTGCCTCCCGTGCCTCCCGTGCTGGGATTAAACGCAAAATGCATTTAATTTCCCCTTTTTTACTTTTGGGTGCTGCAGTTGAACCTAGGGTCTGCATGTGCTAAGCACACACTCCACTCCTGAGCTGCACCCCAATGCTGAGATTGGAATAGAGAAAAATTAACCGACCTTTTTGGTGGCTTGTGGAATTTACCTCTTTACACAGTGATGGTTTGTTTACACTGTCATTCCACAGCTAACTCTTCAACTGCTTTGGGAAGATGCAGGGCCGCCCAGCCCCAGCCTCTCTGTTGGCTATATTGCCTGCTCCAACTGCCAGTTCACACTTCCTGGGTTCTACTTACCTAGATTTTTTTTTTTTTTTTTTTGTAAACCCTCCCTGTTTCACCAAGTCTGGCATGGGTATACTAACTCCAGCTTCCTAATCTACACTGGCACCACAGAGCATCCTAACTGCACTCACTAGCCCAAGCATTACATGGGGAAGGCAGGGAACCCTTTTCAGCTCCATGCTCCCAACTAGAGCTGTGGTACATGTGCAGACAACAGTGGTTCTGATACCCACACTCCTTAAGATCCTGTGTGTGTGTGTGTGTGAGAGAGAGAGAGTACCCTTTGGAGGACAGAAGAGGATGATGAATCCCCTAAAGCTGAAAGCGGTTATGAGTTGCTTGACTAACTTGTGTGCTGGGAAGCAAACTCAGGTCCTTGGAACAGCAGCAAATACTCTTTTTCTTGATTGTTTTTTTGAGACAGGGTTTCTCTGTGTAACAGTCCTGACTGACCTGGAGCCTGCTTTGTAGATCATGCTGGCCTAGAACTCACTGAGCTCCCATTGCTTCTGACTCCCAAATGATGAGTACTCCCCAAAAGTACTCTTTAATCTCTCAGTAGCCCAAACTGCCCCTGCTAGAACGCGTCCTGTGCTCTTGCAGCACCAGGATCCCCAGAGGTTTGTACTTTGCTACTCCTGTTAGATCCACCCTCCTTTTGCTGTCTAGACCCAACCCAGGACAGACATTCACAGCAACCAACAGCTCTGAAGTTTTCCTCCATGGCTCAAAGTTCCCTACCACGAGCACTTCATCCTTCGCCCTGCCTCCATCCTCTCTGCCACCCCACACCTCTCAGGACCATCTTGTCCCCCTTTTACCCAATATTCTTCAACGCTCTGGAACTTGTCTGCATTCTGAGAGGTCAGCAGTGAACCTAGCAAGTAAAAAGTCCTGTCCTTCTGACGCTCAGATGGACAGCAGGGTGTGAGAGTTCAGACTAAGTAAAATGGAGAGCATGTTAGCGCATTAATATGAGGACAAGCACAAAGCAGGGGGCCGATGAGGTCGGTCAGTGGATAAAGGTGATTACCACCAAGCTGTGGACCTTGGGACTTACAAGGTAGAAGGAAAAAACTGACTTCTGAAACTTGTCCTCTGTCACATGTGCTCTGTGGCATGCTTACACACACACACACACACACACACACACACACACACACACACACTAATATAAATAAATGTAATTTTTAAAATTAAAACAAAAGAAACCAAAAGCAAAGGAGAACAGGAAGAGGAGGGAAAATTGTAAGACATATTTTATTTTATTTCTGAGACAAGGTGTCGTTTATGGCAGCCTGGGCTTGAACTCCTTATATAGCTGAGGATGACAATGAACTTTTGATCTTCTTGCCTCTGCTTCTCAAGTGCTGGGATTACAGGTATGTTTGAATATTCCGTACAGGGACTGAACCCAGGTTTTCATGCAGACTAGACAAGCTCTCCAATAACTGAGCTACAACCCCAGCTTGTTGTTTTAACTTCAACACAGTGGCTGTACCTTAATCTACTGCTATTTCAGCCAGCAATTGCAACTCCACAGTTACCAGCCTCCTTCTCTAGCAGCAACCTGGCCACTCAGGTACAGTCTGGTGGGAATTCTGTTCCCACAGGCACTGGCTCTGTCACTGCTGCTAAAGGTAGCTTTAACTAAATCTCTATCATTCTATTTATGAATAAGACTCAAGATTCAAAGGCTGGGGTGAAAACCTGCTAGCTCAGAGAGGTTGGGTCACAACTAGCTAACCTTCTCTCCTTGCTGGCATCTCTGAAAAGATCCCTGCTTCCGATTTGCTAAACCAGAAAAGGTTGTGCCACTCCAAATCTCTCCCTACTACTTCCTGTGTCTATTTCTACTGATAGATGCTCTATGATTACTTTCAACAAGTTGCTAACTCAGCCTCCTGAATGAAGGTTAATTTTATTTAATCAATGCAAATGCAAACTCGAGGTTTGCAGTGTGATGGAATATCTCTCAACACCAGCTCCTGGAAGGCTTCTTGACAATATGTAGTATGGAGAAGTAGACCCCAACTTGTGTTGGCTAAGCAAAGTTTATCATCATCTTCACCCTCCTCCTCCTCCTTCTCTTTCTCCTCTTCTTCCTCCTCTTCCTCCTTCTCCTCCTCTTAGGACCTTGTGTATGTGTAACATCCCCAGTCCTGGGCAAAGGTCTTGAGGCTGGAGGGGAAGGATTCGGTGTTGTTGGGGAGCGGGTAAGCAAACAAGATAGCTTCAAAGGGGAGTCAGAGACAGGACTTTGGTTTTTCTCTGTGATGGAAGCCACTGGTGAGATTTGAGCAGAGCTGTGACATGATCTTATCTTGACAGGAACTCATTGGCTGCTGTATGGACCAATGAGCTGAAAGGGAAAAAGGCAGCAATGAGGTAGTGAGTTTACATCAACAATCCAGGGGAGAGGTGCGGATGGTGAGCAAGGCAGAATGGAAACCAGGTGGAGAAGGATCAAAGATGAGTAGACTTGACTGCAAGACCATGGAGGAAGCTCAGCAGTGAAGGTGCCTGGTGTTCAAGCCTGACAACCTGGAGTCAATCCCTAGAACCCATGTAAAAGGTGAAGGGACATTCCGCAAAGCTGTCCTCTGACCTTCACATTGTGCTGTAACAATGAGGCCTGACCCCCCACACACAAAACACACACACACACACACACACACACACACACACACACACACCACACACGTCATTTGTACTTAAATTCAAAAGATTAGATCTGAGCTACAGGAAGGATGCTGGTGCTAGGAACTGAGACAGCGAAGCCTGGAGAGAGGATCAGGATGGGGAAACTGCTGGGAAGGTAGTGCAAATCTAGGAAGATGGTTCAGGCTGGAGACCAGCATTCAGCATCACCAGGAGAAAGATGAGAGCCTATTAAAGCCTTGAGGACCAAGAGATCACTACCTTTGAAGGAAGGAGCATCTGCCAAGTGAAATGCTAATGATGATTCTAGAATAAAATGAGGCTGAGCAGGAAATGGGACAATGCAATGCCAGTTTCCATTAGACACAGTGGGCCTGTGCTTCAGTTAGCTGAGCACTTGTGTAACATTTGTGAAGCCCCGGATTCATTCCCCAGCACTCATCAATGGGGCATGGGGGGAACACTCCTACTATCCTAACGTTATAGAGGTGGAGGCAAGAAGACCATAGGTTCAAGGTCATCTTGACTACATAATTGGTTTGACAGTATAGTCTTAATCTCTCCCTAAAAGTACTCCCAGAAAGTACAGTCATAGTAAGGGCTAGCTAACCAGCATGCATATGAGCCAGAAACTAAATGGTTCTAAGTCATTGGAACACCAATAAATACAAGAAATGGAAGAATATAGCATTTTCCTTTTTAAAAAAAATGTAATTCATTTTTATGTGTATGTGTGTATTTTCATGAATTTATATGTACCATGTGTGTGGCATCTTCCTCAGAGATCAGAAGAGGGCATCAGATCCATTGGAAGTGGAGTTACAGAAGGTTGTGAGCTGCCATGTGGGTACTGGGACCAGAGCCCAGGTCCTCTGTAAGAGCAGTAAGCACTTTAACCACTGAGCCATGGCTCCAGCCTCAAATGTGGTGGAGGTTTTGTTTGTTTGTCTGTCTTTCTTTGTGTTTTTTTTTTTTTTTCAGGATGCTTCTCTGTATAAGAGTCCTGGCTGTCCTAGAACTCACTTTGTAGACCAGGCTGGCCTACAAAGAGATTCACCTGCCCCTGTCTGTGAGGTGCTGGGATTAAAGGAGTGAGCTGCCACCACCCATAGGTTTTTTGTTTGTTTGTTTGTTTTGTTTTTTAAGATTCATTTTTATTATTTTAAGTTGTATGTAATTATGTATCTGCTAGTAGGTGCACATACCACAGAGGCCAGAGGTCTCAGACCTCCGGGAGCTAGAGTTACAGGCTGATGTGAGCTGCCTGAGTGGGTGCCGGAACCCAAACATAGGTCCTCTGCAAAGGCAATAAACACTCTAGCCAGTGAGCCATCTCTGCAGTCTCAAATGTGGCATTTTAAGTAGCCATTTTGTGTTGATTCTTCTCCCCAGCCCAGCCTGACCATTGATTTCCCAGCTTTAGACACTGAGGCACCTGACCTTGCTAGGTCAGTTAGAGAAACATGGAGAAGAGGCGGTCCTGAAAATGAGAACCACACAATCAGTGAAAAGGTGGGGAGGACCCAACACCACAGGCAAACCCTGCACCTGCTGCCTGCCCTAAGCCTCCTGTCCTTAGAAAGCCCCCCTCCAAGTCCCAGTACTCCTCATATGAAGGTGTGTAAAATGAGAGCAAGCAAGTCTTCATTGTCTCTCACAGAGACAAACACAGTAGACTGGATTGGCAACTGAGGAGTAAGGAAGGAAGCCAAGAGAATCCCTCAGCTTGGAATGTCAGAGGTAGAGGGACAAGGGACTGTGGTGTCCTCAGTGGGTCTGCTGTTTGTTACAGCCTGTGGAGAAGCTAAGCAGGATTCAGGTCAAGACGTGAGGTGGAAAAAGACAGGGCTCAATGAATTGGCCTCCACCGAGCCTGGAACAGAGATGGAGGAGACCCTGAGCTAGGGTCATGACAAGGACAAGATTCAGAGGCTCAGGTAAAAGATGAACAGAAAGGAGCCTGAGGTGACCAGGAAGGAGAGTGGAAGGCGCAGCGTGCAGAGTGGGGAGCAGGAGCAGTCCCGTGGTGCCCAGGAGCAGGGTTCCCTGTGGGGCAGGGTGGCCACACTGGCGGGGCGCCCCCGCGTGGGCCGCTCGCCCAAGATGGCGATGGAGGGGCGG